ATGGGTGACCGCCTGGGAATACCGAGTGTCGTAAGCTTTTTATTTTTTATGAAATGTAAAGATAAACTTGTAGTATATGTTTTTACTACTTCATAAATCATATTAAGTGATAAATTATATTTTCCACTGGTTGAAGAATAAATACATATCATAATATCAATTGTTAATTGAAAATGAATATCTTATTAGTGAAAAAAAATCTAAATAAAATATCATCTTTGGTTTCGAATGAATGATATTGATTTATTTCATCACTAAAAAAAGATGATGACAAAAAAAAAGAATAGAAGAAGAAGAGCAACAACAACAGTATAACAGAAGCAATAGCAATCTATATCTTCCTACAACAATGAACAAAAGAGCACCAATCTATTAATTGTATCAATTATTCGATTAGAAAGAGAAAATAATGCCAAGTAGCATCAATTTAACAAATAGACTAAATATATATTTATATATATATTTACATGAGCATGTGCGAGTGTTTATAAGTAGCAGGTACTAATTAAACTAAAACACGTGCATTTTATAAGCACATGTGAAAAGAAAAGTTATCTATGTATATCTGTGTCTGTGTTAATAAAAGTAACACTGTTCGTATTGCTTACAAAGGTCGAACATAAGTTGCAGGAAAAAGACCAACATTACCACGAACTTCACCTTTCCACCAATTCGCATCACTTTGATCTAACATTCGAATACGATCACCACGTCTCAATTCAATTTCACCTTCTTCTTGTGGTTGAAAATCATAAGCAGCTACATATGTTTGACCATCAGTTGATGGTACAGAAGGAATTGATGATTGTGGTTGTGATTGAAAATTTTGTATTGTTCTTGGAGTATTCTTCTGATTCTTAAAAACGAAAAAAAAAATATATATCTTTATATATTATTTTATTTAATTTACATATGACGTTTGTTCTGAAACCATATCTTTAAGTAATAAATTTTGTCCACGATTAACTGAAGTTGTACGATGATAATCAATTAATTCATTAATAGAATCAAATTTAGCAACCCATAGAAAATATTTACCCATACCATCACGTAAAACTTTAAAATGTTGAACCTGATCTTGACATCTAAAATAAAATTTTTATAATAATAATATGATTATTAAAATATTGAATTCATACTTGACTGAAAGTGAAAAATCACCTGGTGATGATTCACACATACGCACAAGAAATGCACCATCAGGTTGTTGATATCGTGGAATATTTGAATCTTTTTGAAGAAGAATTTTTTCAGCGTCAACACGTGTTATACTACCATGAAACCAACTAAATTCAAAAGAAAAGATTTTAAGAATAGAAATCATCAAATTATATTTATATACAAATATGATATAAAAGAATGTTTTTTTCGGGTGATTCCAAGTCAATTGCTAGAAATTGAGAGTCTCACGAAAACCTTTATAACTCTCGAATGGAACAATGACGACCTACAGATAACAATATTCGCTATCTATTGATCATATTAATAACCAAGACTAAGTTAAAAAGTGAAACCAATGCTGACAAATCAAATTTCAGCGTGTATTTATGCGCCTGTATCTTTTTCTTGTATAGATGAAACAATCTTTTTCAGATTTCTTAAGAATTTAACAAGTACTTACGGATGAGGAACCATTTCAATATAAGTCTTTGGTATATAACCTTCTTGTCCTCTGAATTCAGCTTTATACCAATTCATATCTTCTTCCACATTGAGTACCTATTTAACAGCAATATATATATTATATAGAATTAAATAAAAAAAAAAACCCATACTTTGAGTATAGCTCCTTTTTGAAAACTAAGTTCATCATTGGCCGTTGCATTAAAATCATAACGACCGTAGGCTTGCATATTTTGTTTTATCGATTTTGTTTTTAAAACATACAAAGTAAAATAATATATATATATATATATATATCTAGAAGATAACATTAAAATTAAAAAAACAAAACAAAGTTGATAAATCTCAAACAAAAACAAAAAAAATTGTTTTTTAAACATTTATTTTTGTTTTTCAAAATATTCTTTCGATTGAATTGGATCAGGTTTAATTGTATTTGGATTTGTTTTTTCATGCCAATTAGCTGGACATACTTCACCATGTTTATCAACAAATTGAAATGCTTTTACAAGACGAAGAATTTCATCAACTGATCGACCAACAGGTAAATCATTTATTGTTATTTGTCTTAAATTTTGTTCTGGATCAATAATAAATAAACCACGTAATGCAATACCACCATTATCATCAAGTAAAACACCATAACGTCGTGATATTTCTTTTGAAAAATCACTTAATAATGGATATTTAAGTCCACCAAGACCACCTTGTTTTCTTGGTGTATTAATCCAAGCTAAATTAAATAAAAGAGATAGACAAATAGATTCTTATTAGTAGATTATCTACATCAATTGATTCAAATTTTAGACAAAAAAAATGTCACTATTATACTTCTTTATAATCAATCAATCAGTTCTACTAAATATTGGGTTTTTTTTTGTCTGTATGTCAAGCGAATCATTTTTTCTCCGATGAGAATATTAAACATCTTCTCATAATGACAGATCAGTCTGAAAAATTGCTTATGAATATAGAAGGTTAAATGTAAAGACCTTGATGAATAATTCTATGGTAATCAATCATTAATATATTAACTTACCAAGATGACTATATACTGAATCAGTACTACAACCAATAATTTCAGTATCAAGTTGACGAAATTCATCTAATTTTTCATTGAATGCAATAAGTTCTGTTGGACAAACAAATGTAAAATCCAATGGATAGAAAAAAAGTACAACATATTTTCCTTTATAATCAGATAATTCAATATTTTTAAAATGACCATTAATTACAGCTTGACCTTTAAATTCAGGTGCTTGTTTTGCTATCATTGGAAACGGACTTAGATGATGTGTATTACGTATAAGAGATTGAAATAAATTATTTGTTGGTTTACTTGTTATATGACGAAATAATTGACGATACATTCTCCTATGAATCTATAATAAACAAGGTCATATTTGAATGAAAAATATCGTTTAGTCATTATTATAATAGAAATAAAGTAAGATTTAATTTGATTTTGATGAAATGAATATTGAACGCTTGAATGCGTTGATCATTCGATTTATGTTATGTAAAACAAAACACAAAAAAAAAAAAGAAGGTGAGCAATCAATATTCGAAAAGAAGTTGTACTCATATATAATATCAGATATGAATCAAAATGATGAAAAATATTTAAGACAAATAATTATGACTCAATATGTTCCTTTTTTTCTATTTGAACTAACACTTACATTTCGATCGAGGACAATTGACAAAATTTCTATTGGTTTAATATTTTCTTTCGTTTAAATAATATGATTGGTTTATTCATTTTGTTCAATAAATAAATTAAGAAAGATGGCATAAGAGTACTGAGTTCGTTTATGTTAAACTTTTTTCAAATGAACGTAATATGGTACAAAAAAAAAATGTATAGCTCAAATCTAGATAGTGATTTTAATAGTCAATAGAATTTTCTATCTGGTACATTCTATACCAAGCAATGGCAAATCTTCAATTGGTAATAATTTTGAAAATCTATCTGTCAAAATATTATTTCTCTTCTTTGATTTCTGATATCTGTTTTTTTTGTCGAAAATCAGTAACAAGAGATTTGCCACGATCTTTTCTATACCAAGGTTAGCTAAAAACTGAACACGGTAGTTTTCAGATCTTAGAAGATTTTATCGGAATTGGTTTTTTTTAATAATGCCATTTTAAAGAGCACAAAATGAGGAATCACTACATTTTCTACGACTTTTCCTGAAAAGTTAAATGTATTACATTTTGTTCAGAATTTTGTAATCCCTAAAATGGCATTATTAAAAAATAGCGCCAATAAAGTCTTCTGGACAAAAATTTTCTCCATTGTCTAACTAGGGAAAGTTCTCAACTTACGGACATCATTCAACTCCATATTAGGGCTACGAGGTAGGTTGCTATGAGACTAAGAAAAGACTAAAAGAATTCGGACTCATGACCTATGGATGAAGAATTATGGCTGTTGGTCTAATGATTCTTAGAATCACCTAAAATTTTCAGTCAAAATGAATGTTTCTTTCTCGAAGTATTGAATTCGATTTTTGGGACCTATCTTTGAAAAGTAACTATTTTATGAAAATTCAATATTTTGAGAAAGAAACATTCGTTTTGATTGAAATTTTCAGACGATTCTAAGGACCATTAGACCTAAATTTTAGGTCGAAATTCTTTAATTTGATTGTTTCGGAAATTCCTTGTCACAAGCTTAAAATTCACTAAAATAGTCATAACTCTTTACCAATAGGCCATAGACTCGAATTCTTTCCATCTTTTCTTAGTCTCATAGAGACCTACCTCATAGCTATAATATGGAGTCGAATGGTGCCTGTAAGTTGAGAATCTTCCCTTGTAAGATTTTATTTTCTATATTGTGTCTTTAATTTAACAGTTGTGAATGTTGTTGTAATCTTCAATGAATAACATTTAAGTAAAGCAAGATTGATGTGTTTCCTTTTAATAATTTGACAATCTTTACTTCTATCCAACGAAAATAGAAGAAATTCTGTGAGATTTTTTTGGATGTAATCGACATCGATAGTTCTATGAATAGACTTTTCGCTATATTTTATGATTTAATAAGTTTTGATTTAAATATTGAATAAAGCAAAACTGTACCTAACCTTGATGTACAAACATCAAAAAATCAAATTTCGTTTGTATTGAATCTAATTCTTTGTAATTTCTAATACATTTCATGTTAATTGATACAGACTTGGTACGCACATTGATCGACATAGATTTTGCAAACAAGAAACCGCGAAATTCAGATAAACATAGCCGAGAAGTGAAAGACAACAAATGTCTGAGCCTTTCGTTTACTCACAATGAATAGCTAAGCTTCAATATTTTTTTTTTTATTTATACTTTAGTTTTATCTAGGTGATAACATGTGAAAATCTTGAATATTTCATATACTAGCGTATCACAACAGTGCATATCTTTTTATAGACATGGGTTCCTGTTTTTTTATTAACTATCTGATAAGTTCTTGAAATAATATTTTTTTCGACCATTTTCTACCAAACAGACACTATCACTCGAGTGATTTGCCGGATTTTGTTTTTGTTTTATCAAGTAGTACATTGTTATTCGTAAGTGTTATCAGCTCTACACGGACTAATAAACGGATGAAAAGAAGTTTATTTTTACAATCAAGTTGTACCTATAATCACATAACGCCACCTTTCTTTTATATACTCATTAAATATAACGCGAATCATCCAATCACTTTTTTGTTCTATTTTGTCATAAACTTTTTTAGTTTAATTAAATTTTTAAAAATGAAATATCAGATATTTTATTGTTCATTTGTTATTCTTGTTTTTTATACTTTATCAGGTACAAGATTTTTTTTTAAAATGTTTTTCTTTGTTAATAATTCTTTTTTAATATCTATTATAATTTTAGTTTTATCAATTAAATGTTATGTATGTAAAGAACCTGATCGAAAATGTCGTGATCCATTTCATAATGATACAATTTTTTTAAAAGATTGTTCACAACTTGGTATGGGTAATGCAACAATGTGTCGAAAATATATGTGGGAAAGTAAGTATTTTCATATTTGAATGAATACATATTATAGTAACTTCTCAAAAAAAATAATTCAAATAGGTTTTCTTGTTGCCATGATCACTAAGATGTATTGAAATAGTGATTTGAATAGAGAATTTTTAAAGATAAAAATGATTACTAGTTTATCAAGGAAAGAATCTCTGAAAAACTAAACTTTTCAGGTTTTGAAACTTGAAAATAAATCTAGTCGAATAATTTTGCAAGTTATTGTATAAACATACCTACACCCACTCTGAGACTTCAATAAGCTTTGTATTTCGGCTATTTATAATGTAGCAAAGGTATATAACCCAAGTGATTTAATCGTCTTTAAGAATTTCGTGCGATAAAAATGGCGTGAGTGAGACAGTACAAGATCTCTCTATGATTGGTTTATTCATTGAACATAGAAAATATGACAGATTTGAAATTTCAGTAGCATGAGATCAATTTCACATCTTCTTTTCCTTTTCCTTCTCCAGCTCTCGAGTTCTATAGTAGTGTTCCACATGACTTTTCGTCAATAGAAACTCACACATGTCTTTCCAACTGTTTGTGATTCTTAAATGTTTCTTTATGGATAAAAACTTGAAACTCTCTTCTCTATCACTAAAACAAAAAGTCGATGAAGATATTTGAATTGCTTTTTTAGACTGACTTTGGGAACGCTCTGTGTTTTTCTTCGCCAAAGAAGGATCGATCTCCCGCTGGGCACATACTTGACGATCAACATAGGTTTAAAAAGAATATCTCATGTAATTCGTAGTGCTCTTAGTAACACTATATGCAACAATAGATTGTTTAAATATCATACGAAAAAACCTTATCTCTTTCCATTCTCGAGTTATTTCAAAAAATATTCGAATCTACTGACTTTTTGGACCGACAATAGTTTTTTGAGACATACACAAAATAAAATAATGTATTGATTGGACACACTTTTTGATGTATATCATTTCTCTTGTAAGTCGGTGATGGTGTACGATATTATATGCGTGGATGTGCTATACGTGGTCGTGTAAGTCGAAAACAAGGTCGTGATTGTATTGAACGTGTCGGTATGTATATTAAAGAATTTTATAAAAAATTATTATTTGTTTTTTTTTGTCTTCGATTAAATAGGTACATGGAAAACTAAAATGTGGTATTGTCAATGTGACAATAAAGATGGTTGTAATGGAAGTACGAATAAACAAATATCAATTATGACTATTTTATTATTTATTGTCATTGGACGTAGGATAGTTTATGATATGGACATATATATTTAGCAATTTTGCTAATATTTTACATTCCGTCTTATGAATCTCTCTTTTTTTTTTTTGTATTCAAATTTTGGAAAATTTTTGCGTGTGTTATATTGAAATGATTTTGAAGATGTCTGATGATTTAATACACATTGTTTTTTTGTTTTGTTTTTTTTCATTATAGTAAAATTTTCTTATGACCATTAATAGAAATTGAATATAGTAAAAAAATAATTTCTATCTTTTATTGATTATTTATACTTTGAGTAGATATAATTTTTATAAAAAAAGAAAAAAGAAAAATATTACATAATACGACAAGGATTTAAAAAATTTAATATTATATTTCTTTTATTCATTAATCTATTGACTTTTATTGATTCTTGTTGTTCATTGAGTAATGTACGAAATCGAGCTAATTCTAATACTGAAATACGTTCATTAATATTTCTTAAACAATCATCTTGAAATAATTCTAAAATTTGTCGTGGTTCACTTTCTATCATTAATTCATATAAATTATTTAAACTTGGTCCATCAAAATGACTTAAAAGACGTGCCATTTGTCTTAAATTTGATCCTATCAACCAATTTTGTACATCGATTTTTGTCCAATCAAGAATATTTTCTGGAAGTTTTAATGAATCTGATATTAATGGATATAAAAAAGTTTTATCTTGTTTAGATTGAATAGATACTATTTGAGTTTCTTGTATATCAGGAGCTTTTAATTCTTCAATTAATAATTTCATTGCTTGTGAAAATTCATATTTAGTAAAATCAATATATAATAATTGTCCAATAAGAAATAAAAGCCATCCATCAGGTTGATAATGTTCTTGTAAAAGTATAGGAACAATTTTAAGTTGACAACGAAATGCATATTGTGCTTCAGCACGACAATAATTACTTTTATGATATTGTTCACTCATACAAATAATAATTATATATGATTGTTCAATAGCTTGTGCCATTGCATCCATAACATTTCCATGTATTTGATCATAATCAATCCATACATGATAACCAAATTTAATTAATTCTTGATAAATTTTTTTACAAATTATTTCATCTTTATGTGAATAACTAATCATAATATCAAATTTTTTTTTATTATTAAAATCTGTTAATGTACGATCTAAATAACTTAATTCAAGATTCCATAATATACCAAATACTATTTTACGCATTTTTTCATTATTACATTCTTCTTTTAATTTAGTTAATTTATTCATAAATAAACGATTAGAATGTAATTGTTGTTGAATATCATGATTAAATGAAAGACTCCATAATATATCTAATGTTATTGGATATGTATCAGACATTTCTATTAAAAGTGAAATTTTATTTGAATTAGCAGTTTTTTGTTGAATTGCATCATTTTTTGATACAGTTAAAAAACCTATAAAAATACAATCGATTCAATTTTACATATTAATAAAGAAGAAGAAGAAGAAGCTATACGAGATTTCAGTGCTAAAAGTATTTGCATTAGCTTTTTTCCGAAAAAAAAAACAAGTTTTGATAATCCATTTTAGTAGTATTATAATATCTTCTATTGAATAGATATTGTACACTGGAAGTATATCCTCACATTTTTGAAACGCTCTGAGAGTAATGCTCATCGGATTTGTCGCGAACCCAATGGGACCTGAAAATTTTCTGTTAACCGATCAAAAATTTGAAACCCGACGAGCTCTAGTCGTCTGAAAAATATGTAAAGATATCCTAGTTACCGAATATAAAGTATTAGAAAAATTCCATTCAGATTATCGACTGTGTCAAAGTTCAAAAAAGTTTACACTTGATACATTCCATCTGAAGATAACTTTTTCGAGATATAAAATAGTATCCTTACCTTTCTGAAAACGTCTTGTGAGATGTGAATGCAGATTTTGCCTACATCTTCTCAGGAAAGTGAAGTCTTCAATTTTATATCTCAAAAAAAAGTTATCCTGATTACTTTTGTCTTTTTCTATGGAACCTAATAATATTCAAGTTCTTCATCTTCTAACTAAAAATAATAAAAATAACCTGTTAATAATTGTGGAATAGGTATTCGTTTATAACGTTGTGCTGGATGATTCCATGCAAGTTCTAAAATTCGAAAGAAAAATTCAGATATATTATCTGTAATTTGAACTTCTTTTAATTGTTCATCAGATAAAATTTCTGCTAATATTCCATATGCACATACAGATATACGATCATAACATGATTTTTGTGCTATGGATAAAATTATATTAGATAAAATTGTTTCTGAACGTATAAAACAAGTTAAATTTTTTATTTGTAATAAAGCACCCATAAAAAAAATAAATATGGAATCAATAAGTATTGTTTCATCATTATACCATAGTGATGTTATACGTTCATGAAATAATTTACAACCAACAATACGTATAAGTCCTCGTATATGATCATAAATTATTTGTTCATTTGATAAAAGTATTTTAATATAAATTGCTTTTTCTGTTCCCCACCAACAACATGCACATATAAAATCAATAAGATGTGTTATACAAGTTAATAATTGTTGATTCCAATAATCAACAGTATAACTATGTATATGTATTATTTGTAAATAATCATTACTATAACGATTAAGTAATTCATCACCTTTAAATGGTGTTTTATCAATTATTGAACATATATACATACGAAATAAAAATGAACATGTTTTTATATAAAATAATTGTTTAGCTGTAAATATTGATTCGGAAATTTTTGTTTGACATAATTGATTTAAATAAAATTTATATTGATTACTTAGAAGATAATCATGTCCTATACGTTGACATATATGTATAAAAATAGGTAATTGTTCAAATTTAGTATGTTCATGAATAAAATATGAAAGATTTTCAAACCAACGACTAATAATAAGAAAATATGGATCATTATGATTTTCAATTTTATCAATTTGATCAAATATTTGATTTATCCATTGTATATTATCAGGAATAAGAAGTAATGATTTTATATCAGCATCAATATTATTTTTATTAAATATTAACATAAAATTAAATAATCCAAGTTTATGAAATAATTCAAGATAATTTAATTGATCTATATATTGATAAAAATTTTGACTAAGTATTTTCCATGCCCAATGTTCAAGAATAATTAATGATTCTAATGATTGAGAAATAAATAAAGATAAACTCTCATTTGTTTGTTGTTGAAGATAATTTATTATTTTTTGAAAAATATCAATAGGTAAAGAAGATATTGAAAGAGTAGTTATCAATTGTTCAAAATCGTTTTCCATCAATATTGCTTTTTGTTTTGTTTTTTTTTTTACTTATGACTCATTTTGTTTGATGAATGTTTATATGACCTCTTGCACTTCTTTCCTTCTATTCCACATTATTTGACTCGTCTTCCTGCATTACTACCAGTCAGCAACAACAAGTCGATAGATGGAAGAAGAATGTATTAATGAACGTTATACTAATAATAATGTCTTTCTGCATATAGAACAAAGCAGAAGAATATGTTGTTTATATTGTGTTCTGTAATACAATCTACAAGACATGTGTGGGCGATACAGAACTTCCATAGAGACACATTTTACTTGTCAATGATAAGACATACATGCTTCAAATATAGTTCTTGATCTTATTTTGGTAGTTTTTTGAAGTTTAACAATGATGAACAAATAGTAAAACTATTGTTATTTTATTCGCGTATTTTTCTATGATATAGTTTGTGTTTTAATTTATCAATAGATGTTCGTTTATTTTTGTTTTTTTTTATTTTTATTTTCGATGAGTGGTATTCCTTTGCAAGACATTCCACAGTGAATATGTGAAAATATTAAAGTTGATGTTTTTCACTATCAAAAAAAAATCTGTTCCATCCGCTGACATTATATAATATTAAAAAGTAGAATATTATTTATAATGGGTAACATTAACTTTAATGTCATCATATTAAACAATGAAACCAGTGGAACATCTGCTCAACAAATACCCGATGAGCATAAATACAGAATAATCTCTTAAGAAAATTATATTTAAAATGACATACATATTCCCGTAAAAATAACAATGGTTCAATGTAAAAATGTATTACATTAAAAGACAACAAGATGAAATATATTTGTTTTTTCGATTAGTATTTCTTGTAGATCGTCGAGAAAATTTCGATTTAAGAGTATATCTTTGTTGATCTATTAAAGATTGAAAACAAGACAATTCCACTAATGATAAACATTCATTTGTTCGTCGAAGTGATTCTTCTTGAAGAAGACTTAAAATTTGTTTTGTTTCACCATTTTTAATAAAATCACTAAAATAAAGTAAACTTGAACCATTATAATCAGCAAGAATTTGAGACATTTGAATAAGATCATGTTCAATTAACCAATTATGTACATTTGTTTGTGTCCAATCTGAAATATTTTTCGGACGTATTGATAGTAAAGATTCTTCTAATGGTATTTCTTCTATATCACAAAGTACAGATTCTGCACTTGATCTAGAAAGAGGTAATTTAATATGAGTCTCAATAATTTCTTCAACTTCAAGTTCGTTCATTAATAATTTCATTGCTCGTGGAAATTCATATTTAGTAAAATCAATATAAAGTAATTGACCAATAAGAAATGATAACCATCCATCAGGTTTATAATGTCTTTGTAAAAGTATAGGAACAATTTTAAGTTGACGTTGAAATGCATAATGTGCTTCAGCACGACAATAATTACTTCTACGATATTGTTCACTCATACAAATAATAATTACATGTGATTGTTCAATAGCTTGTGCCATTGCATCCATAACATTTCCATGCATATGATCAAAATCTATCCATATACGATAACCAGATTTAATTAATTCATCATAAATTTGTTTACAAAGAACTTTTTCTTTATGTGAATAACTAATCATAATATCAAATGGTTTTTCATCATTAAATTCAAATATTGTACGATCTTGATGACTTGATTCAATATTCCAAAGTATTCCATGTGTCATTTTTCTCATTTGTTCATTATCACATTGTTTTGCTAAATGAATCAATTTAGACATAAATCCTGTATTAGAACGTAATTGTTGTTGAATATCTGAATTAAATGATAATGCCCATAGAATATCAAATGTTATTGGATATTCATCACACATTTCTATGAAAAGTGGTATTTTATGTAAATCAGCTGTTTTTTGTTGAATGGCATCAATTTTTGATAAAGTTAAAAAACCTATAAAATAAATATATTACTTAGGATTAATCACAAAATTCTAATCATGCTACTTAAAATTTTATAAAATAGATAATATCAAAGGTATTATTGCATGAATACATAGAATGCCTTTGTAGAGCCCATTGAGTCTAAGAATTTTTGGATCCGGACAGGTTCTAATGAGAGATTGTCCGCTATCAGTTCAGTTGAAAATTTGATTTCAACTTTAAAAAAAAATTCATTAAGCATACGTAATGAATTTAATCGATATTTATCTAAAAAAATGTTAGAATTTTAAATTCAAGATAGAGTTGTTATATACATTATTATAGATGAGACATTCAAAATATGTATTCATGCAATAAAATTCTCGATATTAACTATTTTTTTGTAAAATTTTAAACATCATAATCAAAACTTTTGATTAATTCCTAAGTAATTATTTAAATTAGATAATAAATTTACCTCGTAATAAATGAAAAATTGGTATTTGTTTGTAATTTTTCAATGGATGTCGCCAAGCATGTTCAAGCATATCATAAAAAAAAAGACTTAAATTATCAGTAATTTTTAAATCTTTTAAACGTTCATTACATAAAATTTCACCCAAAATAACATATGCACGTAAACAAATTTTATCATGAATTGATAATTCAGCTATTGTTGAAAGTGTATCTGGTAATGAAATTTTTGAACGAAAAAACCAAATTAAATCTTGATTTTGTGCTAAATTTTTCAAAGAAAATAAACAAAAATCAATTAATTTTGTTTCATCATTTGATAATTGTGCTTTTATATTTGAATAAAATGGTTTATAACTAATTATTCGTATAAGTGAATTAATATATGAATAAATTATTTGTTCAGAATGAAATAAACGATTTATTTGTTTTAATTTTTCTCCGCCCCACCAACAACATGCTGCTATAAAACCTGTTAAATGTGTAATACAAGTAAGAAATTTTTCACTCCATATATCAATAATATGACTATGAATTTCAATTATTTGTACAAAATCATTACTAACATAATGCATAATTTCTTCTACTGTAAAAAGAAAATGTTGTGCTTTTGTTGTTAAATATGAACTTAAAGAAAATGAACATGTTTTCATATAAAATAATTGTTTAGAAGTAAATATTGATTGTGGTAATTTAGGTTTTTGAAGTTGAATTAAATATAATAGAAATTGTTCAGTCATAAGATAATTTTGTCCCATATATTCATTAATATGACAAATAATAGGTGATGTATCAAATTCAGGATTTTCATGAATAAATAATGCAAGATTATCAAACCAAAGACTAGCTATACTTATTAATGGATCATTATCATCTTTATCTCGATCAATTTGTTCAAATATATCATTTATTTGATCAATTGTATCAGGTATAAGAAGTGATGCTTTCATATCATGTTTAATATCATCATAATTAAATATTAAATTTTTATTAAATATAGCAAGTGTATGAAATAAAGTTAAATAATTTGGTTGATTTATCCATTGATATGAATCTTTACTTAATAATTTCCATGCCCAACATTCAAGTGTAAGTAATGATTGATATGATTCAAATATAAATGTTGATGATAAATCAATATTTTGTTTTTCTAAAATATTTGTTATTTCTCGAATACCGAAAGTAAACGATGAAGATAATGGAAGTACACCAATAAGTTGTTCGAAATTATTTTCCATCATTGAAAATTATTATCATTCTCGATTTTGCACATATTTTATTCATATTTATTTTGAATAGTTGATCAAATGTGCACACATGGCTCTTATCAATGCGTATTCCTAATGACCTTGTTATATATTATTTTCTTATGGCGTCATCATGCAATAGTTGGTTGACAACTGGGCATATTAAGAAAAAGAAAAAGAAAAATTATTTCATGTGACTCTTAACTGAGAATATTAAGATACTGTTTCTTTTCGTTTATTATGTCGATAGACGTTTGAATAATAGTTCTTATTGTTATTAAAATATTGATTTTGTGTAACTGAAAATGAAAAGAATAAAAAGTCGCTTTGGACACTTGGAATGCATGACTAAAAAAAGACAATCTTCTCAACATGAAAATCAATTTTGAGTTCGAACTCTATGCAGAAAGTAGATCATAATGTAGTATTAAGAACTTCAAAAGGATAAGGATCTCTATATCTTCACTATAGAGTTATAATCATTTTACTGGAATTTTAAGGTATAATATGATACATAGAACGAATCGAATGACGATATTTTAATCTAAAATTTTAAGGACATTCTAGTTACAAATAGTTCTATCCGTGGGTGTGGAAGTGGGTGTGGCTGAGATGAATACTCACAGCTGCATCCTATGATTGATAACATCGTTCGATGTGAGACCTATTCATCAAAAACCTATTAACCCTACTCTGAAAAGTATTAAGTGTAAATATTTTTAAGATAGGTTTTTTTTTCTATTCGGTAAAATAGATATTTAAAAGTAATATTAAAAAAATGTCTGGTAATTAAATCGATATTTAATTTGAAAATCGTTCTAATATACTTTAAGTTTTAAACGAACTCCTACTGATGTCAAATAAATTATGATATTTGAAAATCTTGGCACATTAACTACGTATGAATTAGAAGAAAAGAATTAGATTTGAATCAAACAAGTTTTAAATAATTTTATCCTACATAATAAAGTCTGTTTTATCAAAAATTTTCAGTATACATGACATTTCTCATTTTATAATTAACTTACATCAAGTAGCAAAAGAAAATTGTTTAATTACTAAATACAGAAAAATTTGTATGCAATCGAAACATCTAATGTACAAATTTTTTTTTCATAGTGATTGTCATAATGGATATTCAATACACAAGATGAATTTCGATGATAAAACCGTATTAAATGAAGACAAAAAATATTTAAATTGAATAAAATTTATGCTTTATAGCATAAAAATTACTAATTCTTTTAAATTTGACAAGTCAATAAGAAGTTAATGAAGATGACAAAGATAGATATAACAAATATTTAAATAATTTTTTTTTCTTTTTTTCTCTGTAATAATTTTATTGATTTTAATAAAGAAAAAGATAATAACAAAACAATAGAGAAAATAAAGAAGAGGAGTTTACAAAAGAAAAATAAATAGTAAATATATTACGCGAGGCCTTTCGAATTATCTTTTTCAAGCAATTTCTTTAAGTACAGTTAAAAAGGAAAGTTCAATTGAATCTTGCAGAAACAACGAGTTTGAATATTCGTTTGTGGTATATTTTTAAATAGTGTGATCATGTTTTGTTCGATGCATTGCAATGTGTTTTCAATATTTGCTCAATAATGCACTTTAATGTATTTTTCAGCACATCTCGATAGATTTTTCGTGCTTGTTTTATAATATAGTTTTTTTTAATTCCTAGATATATAATGTGTTTCCGTGTATTCCTAATTGGCTTCAATTTACTGCAATGGATTTTATTAAAAGATCTTTTATAAATACTTTCACATCAATATTATTAATAAGATTGATTTATAAATAATTCATTCGAGAAGAAATTTTGATAAGAATTATTCACTTCTCTAACAATATCAATCATTTTTACTAGATGGGCTTTAATAATTTTATTTGTATTTGATATTATTAAGAAACTCGCTACGTTTTTTTTGCAGATAATTTACTTTGTCATGTGATGACAATAAAGAATCAATTTTTATTGTCACAAGTTCAAGTAATACTTTTATCATCTGAATTAATGTATCAATAGAAACTGATGTTTTCAAAATTTCTAAATAATATATCTATCATACAATTAAAACAGAAATAACAATTGGGATTAATGATTCAACATAATGATGAGAAAGAATATACATATGTTAATTTATGTCTAGCAGAATTTAAAAATTGCAAAGAAGAATTAATAAATGGATGTTGAGCATATTTATACCATCTTTTTTTCAAATGGAAAGAAGAGTGATAGACATGATTATTTTTATTCTATTAGTAAGAATAAATCGAGTAAATAATATGTTCAACATCAAGTGTAGTTTCAAAGATCCATTTTCTTTCAATCCAAAATACTGAAGTAAACTCATTTGATTTTCCACGATGGTTTGGTGTTCAATTATCATAATCTATATATTTATTGTATTTAAAATCGAATATATTTAATTGAGGTACATATTTTAAAATAAATTTTTCCTATCGAGGAATATCAAAATAATACATATCTTCAGATTCAATACGAACATGTAGAAATTTCAATTTTGAATTCAGATTCTTAATAAATATTTCTAATTTATTAAATTTCATCGAAATGTTAATTCTTTTAAGCCCTCCCCCCCCCCCTCAGAAACGAACTTTGTTATTTTCTCATCCGATTTCAACCAAAATTTCAGAGAATGGTAGTCTTAACTAGACTAGCTTATGGTTAAAATATCTCCCCCAAATCTCAAAGATGTGCACAAGTTCCAGTCAATTCATTACCCTTTACGCGGGGAAGGTTTTCACAATGGGGTTACTAGCTGATCATGTCGGGGTGGTTTTTAAATTGTGGAGTGACCTTAGGGCTAGATCCTCACAGGCTCCGATTTTTGAATTTTCCTTTATTTGATTTTTAAAAATACTTTTTCGAAAAATGTTCAGATTCAAAGTGCTAATAAATATGAAATATCTGAGTTTTTTATTTCAGCAAAAGAGAAATTCAAAAATTGGAGCCTGTGAGGATCTAGCCCTAACTGTCCTCTATTCAACAAAACAAAATTATCCCTTTTCTATTGAGTCATTATTAAGAAATCCTTCCTCGCGTAAACGGTAAACTCGAAAAAATTGATTTTGAGAAAAACGAAAAACAAATTTAGAAATGGATTTTTTTACTCAAGCTCAAAAAGCAACATATGAAAATAGCATATTTCAGAATTTTGTCGATTTTTAAAACAAAAAGTGCAACTATAAAATAAGTGGCATTATACAAATTGTAGAGCTTTTCACGCTACATCTTCTGGTATATTTTGTTTTGTTTTAATACAATGTATTAAAATAGAAAAGCAACGTTTTTCCGTTTTTGAAAGGCTTCCGAAAATGTCTCGAAAAACATGATAGTAGGTCCCCAATCTCCTTTGATAAGTTTATTAAAACCTGGCCTTTTTGGAAAAAAGGCATACATTTTCTGAAAGAGGCTTCGGCGCATCTTCCTATGATAAAATCTCAACTTCGAGTTTTCTTCGAAAAAATAGGTTTGCTGAGAGGGGGCCCCCTTAATATATTCAAGCATAAAAATCTTCTTGACATATGAGATTCCCATAGCTCAACTTTTCAATAAAGATGAGCTATATAACTTGAATAGTTTATACAGAATTATCTTTTTCAAAAGTTAACTAAAGAAAGCTTGTATCAAAGTGTAGTGAAGACAGTATTCTCTTGATCGATGTCTGAGATCATCACATATTATCTTTGCAAATAATCAAGCTGTGCCAATTAAACATACAAAGATATCTGTCACCAGTCTCAAACAGTAGATTAACCAACGCAATACATGTTTATTGGTTAACACAAGTAATAATGTATCATCCATTCATCATTAATCATACTACTTTAAATCTGAGAAAACAAAACAAAAGATAAACATACATAACGCACACATTTGCATTTCTTATCATAAACGTCTTAAAGAAAAATGATGATGCAGAAAGCTCCTATTGCTTGATGTTTGCTTTTATTTAGATGCATTTTTAAAAGAAAAGTATATCATAAGTGATTGTATTAATTTCAATCAATGGTAAAGAGTTCATGACATATATATTTTTTCATCGATAACTAAAAGATTAAATCATATGTTATTTGTAATTGAATTCGTCCCATTATAAAGATAAGATATAAAAAAAACACAAAAATCTTTATTATTTATAGAAGAAAAACATGTTTTTTTTTTTCTAACAAAAGAAAATAAAAAAACATTAACATTCAATTAAACAATAGTTCGAGCAGTTGAACGTGATATACTTGTTTCTCTTGGAAATTTATATAAATTTAAACAATTTTGACGAAATATATATGTAAAACATTTTTGATGTGATTTTTTTAATAATAGTATAAGTTCATGACGAAAACGATTTCCACATAATGAATAAAGAAAAAAATTTAAACAAAATGACATAAAATAAAAATGTCTTAATATATCTAATGTACGTGTTAAAACATGTTTTGATATAATTGAATAACATAAAACAGCACAATAAGGTGAATTAAATATTAAAAATGTTGTTGAACATATAACAAGCATTTTTGTTGTTCGTTGTGATATTGTCTGTTGTTGTTTTATACCATTTCCCATTGGTAAAACTGATTCATATGAAAATCTTGGTATTCCTGAATGAGAATTATTCTGACGTGTTACATATTCATGATCTAAATTCTTTGGTTCAAGACATGGTTTTGTAATTATTTTTCTTCCTTTTTTTAATTGAATATAATCATTATGAGTCGTAGGAGTATCGAATATATACAATCGTTGTCTTTCATTAGGACCATCTGTTGCATGTCGACGACTACCTTCTCCTGTCGTCGGTTCTATAATTAAAAGAAGAATAAAAAAACGAAAATTTTTTTTTTTGCCTTATTTTGGGAGGTCAAATTTTATAAAAATATCATAGAAAAAATTAAATTTTAGGTGAAGATAAATTTCAGTTTTTTTTTTTTAAGAACGATTTCTTCTGCATCGATTATTAGAAAATGATGTTCGAAAGTATTTTTATAAGCAAACAAAATCAATATATTTAGAGAATACATAAATTTAATGATCCTTTATTTTAGTGTTAAACTTTTTCGATTTTTTATGAAACATGATCTAAAAGGAATGTTGAAGTAAAGAGGGGTAAAAATTTGTACCCACCCCTTTTCCCCTCCTCATAGACTGGGACGGACGTTAACCAAAGATCATCACAAGTGTTACTCAAAAATCATCACACATCATGTGGACGCCTTATCAACATGCCGCCTTCTCTTACTGCGCTTCAGGCAATGACCGACATTGTTGATATACAATGAAAAATTGTATATAAATAACATCTTTTCATACTATATGACCCACATTCTTAGTGCATTTCTAGAGAATTAAGTAAAAGGATAGTAAAGAAATGTGTCCTAAAATAATTCTCTCTATGATTAGCCATAGCAACTACATTGTTTTGTATATTTTAATCCCATAGGAATTGCGCGCTAACAAATTTTTGAATATTTTCATATATCGATTATACTGATTGTAGTTCTTAGTAATAGTCATTTTTGTATTGACAAAAAAAAAAAAATTATTAACATTTGAAGTTCATGAAGTATTGGTCAATAATTAATTAGGTTCTAAAGGAAACTGATTTTGTACTTAGTATCTGTTGGTTTTAATTAATATTGATAATACCAAAAGAAAAAAAACATGACTTTGGATAAAGAAAACTATTTGACGTGTTGTTGAAGATTAAACAAGCATTAATGGAATAAAGAGTTCAATAAGTTTAATTTGAAATATAATAATAAAAAAAGATGTGTATTTTTTTGTTTAAGTTAAATTAACCATTCATATTATTTTCTTTCTCAAAAAAAAACTAATCATCTATTTTTATATTCAAAGTCAACGAATGATATCAAATAAAAGAATACATTTTTTTGCATTAGTCTAAACAAATAATACTATTCGTATAACTAAAATGCTGGATAAAAGTTTAACAACAATGTAGTTTTTTTTTTTCTATAATATGAATCACCTAATTTAAATTCAGATAGTATCACAAAACAACGAAAAATGCGGTTTTTTAATAAATTTCGTTTTTTTCTAAAGGGAAGATTACAGAGAATACAGCCATCTCTTATTTTGTGGTCTTTGAAATGGTATTTTTACAAAAAAATGCATTGTTGTTGAACTTTTCTCATTACTTTATTTTATCGAATATAAAAAACCAACACTACTTGAAAAGAATCTTTTTGTATAAAAAAAAAATACAAGTAATTTGATATTTTTCCAATACAAATTAGTTAAATTTTTCTTTGCACTTAAATATGAATTACTAATTATGTTATTGGACTTTAACAGTAAAAGATGTGATTATTTTTTTCTTATCATTATTAATATAATAAACACTTGAAGAAAGTTTGTCTAGTTTATGCACGTGTTTTTTTTACCTACATTTATTATCCGTATTCTATTTAAAACTTGATTTGGAAAATGTAAGTCCTTTGAATATTAACTAATCACAACATTAGAATATACTAGAATAATGTTCTTTTCTTTTTTCTATTTTCAGATTTTAAATAACATAAATGTCATGTTTTCTATATAAAAATATCCCTTTGATGCCTTTGCAAAAATAGGTCATCTTGTGTTTACTAGATACTATATGTGTACAAGATAGTTTAGAAAATTTGTTTTAAAAGTTATTCAATAATTTATTAGATCAAAAAAGGTAATGAACTAAAAACATCGATAAATTATCATATAATAAGATAATAATTTTACATTTTTTGTGATTACTTCTTACTTTCTTTTGAGTGCATTAGTTTTTTAGTCAAACAAAATTGAACATATATTTTGTATTGTGCTAAAGTATTACTATTAGTGTAAAAATTTTATACAGTTTGATTTATTTTACTTTCAAAATTCAATTAAGATCTCAAATAGAATCTATTCTCATGTATCTTTATTCTCAAACTAAATATTCAGTCAAAAAGAATGATAACACTAAACTTATAAAAGTATGAAATTAATTAAAATTTATTTCTATTTTATGATTATTGAATTATCTTACCAAAATTATTTGTAAATTTTTTTCTTGAATGTAATTTATAAACAATAGCACAATTAAAAAGAAGAATACATATAAATGGTATAACAAATGTGAAACATATATCAATAATTAATAATGGAAATAAAGCTGGATAATGTTCATCTTCTCGACATTGTCCATTCGATATATTTGTTAAAAAAAAACTAAATAAATAAAAAGTACAACTAATAAATATAAGTAATAATATATTTATAATTGATGAACGATATGATATTATTGTATAGGCATGTAATGGAAAAATAACAGCAACAAAACGTTGTAATGTAAATGATAATGTAAAAGTTGCTGATAAAAATGAACAAACATGTGTTATATAAACAGTTACTTGACAAAGTAATAATGAACGATGAAGACCAATAGCTTGATGTGTTAATATATCAATAATAGATAAAAATATAATTGATAAATAGAGAAAATCTGTAATAGCTAATGCTGTTAATAATGTAGATGAACGCCATTGACGCATAGCATGTTGATTTAATACAATTATTGTGCCTATATTACCAATAATACCAATAATAGATAAAATAAATGTTATATAAATTGTTAAACGTTCAACAAGTAATAAATTTTCATAATTATTAAATGAAGAATCATTATCTAATAAACTTCTATTTGTATAATGATTTGTTGAATTCATATTAATAATTAAAATAATATTATTTTTATTGACATTTGACATTGGTTAAATGATTATAAGAATCATCAACGTATTCAAAATTTACTTTGTCTATAATAAAGAACACAAATAACTACGTTATTACTTTAGCTTTCAGGAGGAAAATATGGAAATTATTCATATACGTATATATGCTAGGGTAAAAAAACAAACAATAGTTGCAGTAACAATATGCCGATTGACTGTCATTTTAACTAATGTCATCACTATAGCAGAAGATATTTTATATCACTATCCGTTGTTCGTCAAAAACCTATATATATAAATATATATATATATACATACTTGTCGTGTTGTCGAACAACTATTTAGTTTGTTGAAAACTGATTACCGCTGTTTTTTTCTTTGCTTAGTTATGCTTAATGTAGTATGCAATAAAAAGAAACAAGACAAGTGTATAAGTCTTTCTTTTTTTCTTTTCCTTGGATGTGTCTTATTTTGATTATTATTTTTGATTTACTAAGATAACATAGAAGGTAATAGGAAAATAATTATATTCTTTTTAGCTGTGTAGATTTCTTTCTTATTCGATAAAATATGATGTTAATGTTAAATCTCGGACGATAATTTTGTATTAGAAAATGATAAAACTTTAGTTTTCTATTTTTATCACTGATGAGAAAAGATTATCATTATAAAAAAAAAAAAAGAATAAGAGAAGATCAGCCTTTAATGATGAAATTCTTCTTTTGCATTGCATATATGAGAAAAAAAATACATAATCGCGTATCATTGCATGTCAATTATAGATATATAAAAACAATTAATGATTTACGTGCGACAATAAGAACTGTTTTTAAATCTATATATAGAGTATCTATTTGTATAAATAATAAAATTTTTATTATTATTTAATTTAAGGTGAAATAAATATGAAAATATCGTTTTTTTTTTCTTTGCACAATCCAAGTATTTCTCAATAGAATAATCAATCGAGATACTTCTACTTGATTACTTGTCTTTTTCTACTGACATATAGTTAAATATCAAAATGATTCGATTACAAGAATCAATAGAACAAAAAATATTACTACGTAAGAATCTATAAAACACAATATATATGACACATTGATTTTTAAATAATTACAAATATTTTTCGATGGAATTCATTACTAATATCTAACAAGATGTATTATTATTATTAATATGAACTTACAGAACGAACATGGACAACGAATATCTTCTTCTCTTATTTATCTAAAATTAGAAAGTTCATCATAACAATGTACTAATAAAAAACAAGTAATTAATAACGATAGGATATATTTGTGCCCAACAATGGGCGGTTGTTATGTATAGATAATGCATGATTTATTTCATACATATGCTAATAAGAGGCATAGATTGCACATAATACTTGTTAACATGTTTCGTCTTTCCTTTTTTATTTTTACCGTTTCAATCTCTATTATTTTCTCTCATTTGTTCTTTTTCATAACATAGATATTTCTTCTATTATTCTTACATTCCTTATAACGACAAGTTTCCATTAATCCAATCATCAATTAATCAAAATACGTAATGTAGCAAACAGAAAAATAGAAAAGGCAAAGATAGTCATATATACAAATGAATAAGAACGAATGATTTAGGTTTGATGATGTGTGAAATATTTTATTTTGTTTTTTATTGAAATATAAGAAGAGAAAGAAAATAATCTTTAACAATAAAATTAACTTTTAGTGTTCTAGATGGAAATATCAAGTTATTTTCACACCAATTAAGGATAATCAACAAAAAGAAAAAAAGATAAATAATCAAATTAGAACTGTCAAAATATCAAGATTGTCCTTTTGTTTCTCATCAATATAATTTTCGATGTCATATATACTCATTGTAACTATATATAGACTAATGAAAAAATACTGTTAGATAATTATTCATTAATACAAAATAAATGAAAGCAATTTGAAAATTTTTTTTTCATAAATTATTTTCTTTTTCAATTACAATATTTTTGCATTACAAAATGAATAATAGCAACACTTACTTACAATTTTCATACAGAAGAACACATTGTATGCAATGGTCCAGATCATGTCGTACTTACATGATTACCAAATGAAAGAAATAAATTAATGAGAAGATTCCAGATATTATTGTCCTAGTAAATAAAATTTATTGATTTGTACCTCGTACATTGTTTCATCAATAGATACATATATAGATTTCAATCGGATTATGAATCTTTTTGTTAACAATAGTGATGATTATAAAACACATACATAGAAAATAACTTTTTCGGATTATCAGACAAACAGAAAAATAATACTATAGAAAAAAAAAGACTCACTTAACAATAACGATTGCTTCGAGTATAGGGTAATGAAAAAACTAATAAGTTAGACTGAATGCATGCATACCAATACAATCTTATCAATACTTTTCTAATAGGAAATAATAAGAATAACAAGCATCATTTATAGGTCTCTTCTTTTTTTTTGGTACTATAAAAAGTAGTCACATACTTTTTTTTTCATATATTTTTCGGTACATTGCAAGAGGGTCACAATCAATAAAGTATTAATAAATGATGAAAATTTATGCTGAAATGTTTGGTGACAATGTCTCTACGAGATAAAAAAAACATACTAATAATATCATTGGAAAATTATTTGATCTCTTACATTAAAATATTAAGTTTTATGCACACGCAAGATACGTTCTGTTTTGTGCGTGATTTATGATCCATCTAATACAAAGTTAATTTTTTCTCAATAAAAGTAAAAAGCTTTTAGAGGAAAAAAAGAATGATGATTATATTAATAATATTTCTTTTACATGAACTTTCTTATTAATAGAAACTACAATACATTAGAGGTATTTATATTAGAATAAGAAAAGAATATCTAAAAGCATTAAAGAAAAGATAATTTGTACTATCTTACTACACGACAAACATATTATCTTTGCTTCTTGTCATAACAAGTCAACAGATATTTTCTTATATATATATATATGACGACAAAAAAAAAGAAATGAGATAGAAATCTCATAAAAAAATTGATGACAATTATTAGAAAAATCTTATATGCTGACGTATTTATACAACTAATTCACTTACATCAAACTTATACTTCAAGAAAATGATTTTTCTTCATTTTCTTATAGTCAATAGACAATATAAAAAGAAAAAAACTACGTAATTACCTATCAATAAACAAATTAGTTTATATGGAAATCAGATATTGTCAACAAGATCTTAGCAATATAAACTATAAGTTCATATGTACTAATAAAGTTCACCTTTTAGACTCTTTATCCTCACAATTCAATAAACGTGATCGATAATATATGCGCGACGATGACGATCGACATTGAATTACTAATCAATAGTTATCATTATGTTTTGTTATTTTCTCCACATGATTAAATCGTGTCTCTCCTACAAAACATGACTATATTCTATAGTCTTACCAACAATACCCAGCAGTCAGTCTGCTACTATACTTGAATATGAAACATATTAAGGAAGCTTTTTTTCTTTGCGTTCAATTACTTCTAATCGAACTTGTGTTTTTAAAATATGTGCACTGAATAGTACCGATGGAAAATTCAGAATAATGTTGATATGAAAACAAGACAATAAACAACATGAATAATTACTATCGTATTCTATCATTCACGAATACTCTACATCAAAAAGAAATGCAGAAAAGAAGAAAACGACTGACAGAACATTTTTGTTGATATTTTTGACATATAACTTTCAACACTTATTTCACAACATCCACTAAATCATTTCAATTTAATGTTTTCTTTACAACAATATGTGGTAGATTGACAAGAAATATGATATAAAATATCATAATATTGAATTGTTAATGATAGATTAAAACTGTTGTTTAAAAATTTTACTTACTATTGGAATTGTACAAAACAAAAACAAAATAACCTAAAGATTGTCATTATAGTAATATATCACAAATGTATAAATAATTTATCTACGAAATAAGTAGAATATAAGAGAAATGATATGAGTAAAACATTATTGTGCCTAGATAAACGTTAGCATTTGTTATAAATCCAGAGAATTTGACATCTGATTCTCATCTAGTTTTTGTGCATATATATATATTTGTGTTTACTTAATGATGATTTCGTCCTACGTAATAAGAAAAATATTGGGATCAAAGAATACATATCTTATTAGTATTCAACTCAAAACTGACTGTTATTAACAGATTTTCTATTTAAAATCTTAACCTTTTATCTCTTTTGCACTCATCTAGTACAATTGATGTTCAGTTAGTCATGGGAATAGTTTAATGAATGACTCATTCGTCTTCAATGACACAATTGGATTTATTATTAATTCTATTTTATTTTTTCACAGGTTATATTGTTATTTTTTTTGTACAAAGTGGAACAATAAAAAAAATTATTTAAAATAGTCGTAGAATGCTTTTTAATCGGCTATTAGTTCTAATAATAAAGTTTTTAGCATGAAGGTTATGTGATTTTATGAGTTTATATCGAAAATAAAATAACTCTTGAAAAATGCTTCTTTCACATCTGTAATCAAGAATTTTTTTAAAAACACTCTGCAAATAACGGGTGAGACAAAAGTTTTCCATTGATCTTATTTTTGATATAACTCTGCGATGCAATGTCGTAGAGACTTGATATTTTTTTTTGTGTTAGAAAGAACAAAGTATCTAGTACAAAAATATATAAAAGAATTTGATTGGAAATGTTTTTTCGAAGATCACAAAAATCTTAGAATAAAAGGCACTGAAAAACTATTCCGCAAGTTTGATCATTTTTTTTAATCCAAAAATATTTGTCTGAGCTGTTTCATTATCTATTTTCGACGCCTTCGAGTACCACATATATACACAATTGTTCACTTAGTATCAAAATAATTGATATAGCATACAAGAGAATGAACAGAAGATAATTTGATTTAAAAAACTTAATTGTTCGAATTTGACTTTTCAACACGGAAACAAACTTTTGTCTGAATATCTAATTGAGAAGCTGTGTCCTATTCCAAATAATAT